AAAAAAAAAAAAAAAAAGAATCAAGGCATACATAGGGAGGTCACTCTACGAATGGGCAGGGTCAAGGCAGGATAAGGGAGAAGCCACTGCCCCTTAAGCAACATTTGCTACACGAAGTCGGCTCAAGAGGTGGGAGGGGTTAAGGTATAGAGCACTTTCCCTACACAGCCTGTAAGCCTTCTAAATATCTACATCCAACAAGGAACTGAAAAGGCTGGCAACAAAGGGAAGGTGGGATGGCAACAGAAAGATAGAAAAAAATTGCTGGCTCAAAAATATGCACAATTAGTAAATGTTTAATCAAATAACTACAAAAGATAATGCTGTCAACCCCATTCTTAAACTTACTACCTATAAACACTTTTTGAAGAAAAGCATAGTCAATTGCAAATTTGATGAAATATCCATAAGCCAATTATTCCACAAGCAATTTTTCAACATTTCTATTTAATCAGATGGTGATGCTTATTTAATGCATTATTTGAAGTAATACAGGGTCTCCAAAAACCACTCGAGGTCTTGGAAGTTTTTTTTTCTTTTTGAGACAGGGTTTCACCCGTCGCCTAGGCTGGAGTGCAGCGGTGCGGTATCAGCTCACCGGAGCCTCGACCTCCTGGCCTCAAGCAGATCCTCCCACCTCAGCCTCCTGAGTAGCTAGGACTATAGGCGCGGAATACCACGCCTGGCTAATTTTTGTATTTTTGGTAGAGATGGGATATCGCCATGTTGCCCAACGCTGGTCTCAAAACTCCTGCGCTCAAGCGATCCACCTTGCCTCGGCCTCCCAGAGTGCTGGGATTACAGGCATGAGCCACTGCGTCCGGCCTTGGAAGATATTCTAATAGTCCTCACAGTACTCGGTTTTCCAGCCCTTTCTACATCTGGCAAGCTCACAAGTGAAAACCTAGTGGGCCACCATGCAGGTTTTGAGTTATTTACTGTTACAGATGAGGAAACTGAGAGGCTACATGGCCACAGTCAACAACAACAGGAGGCAGCACGGTATGGTGGGAGGGACTCTGAAGTCAGGGTCACAGCTGTGCAACAACAGGCAAATGTTATCACCTGCAGTTTCCTCCGGGGCAGGAAATAGTGCCACGGTCACAATATCGCGAGATTTACACGTAAAGCTGGAAATGGCTCTCGTACCAAGGTAAGCACTGTGTTTGCTATTACGTAGCATCAGCAGGGCCCCTTTGCAGCCTGCAAACCGCTCCCTCTACCTTACCTAATCTTTGCCTCATTTCTTGTGTTTTCCAGGACAGTGAAAACCCACGTGACACAGCCAGTAAGTATAAGTCAGGACCCCCGTCCCACTACTACACAGTGCTGTCTCGCGGCAGGGTACTTTTCTTACCCAATCTCTTCTGCTTGCCTCTGCAGCACCAATATAACAATCACAGCCTGCCCTAACCCGAACCTACCGCGAAGGTCACAACTACACTCGCGGCTTTTTAAATCGCTCACTACTCACCAGTCCCGGAAACTTCGCTACGTCACTTCCGTTCCTGCGTCGGCGCTCGCGGCGCTGTGGTAATGGGTTCCCGGTAGCTGGAAAGCTGGGCGGAAGTGGTCCTTTCAGTTCGGCAACCGAGTGTAAACCATTGCTTGAGGTTACCCAGATAGTTTTGCCTTAACGCTTCTTATCCCAGTGGAATTATTAATAGAGCTCCCTTTCACTGTCAAATTTCCGGCGGGGGATAAATTACAGGGTAGTTTTGGTTTGAGAGAGGAAGGGGTAGGGAGGAGGGAAATGAGGCGGTAAAGGACGTTCTCTCTCGGGTCCCGCGCCCAACTTCCGGTGGCCCATAGAAACTATAATTTTGAACCAACAGAACTCTGCTGGCATGTGCGATTGCATTTTTCCTGTTTTAACAACGGCTGTGCTAAACGAAGTGGTGAAGCCCAAGTATGGAGCAACGTCATTAATTCTTTAATTCACTTATTCGAATACTTGCTGAGCTCTGTGTTGCTACTGGTTTACTTCTTGGGATACTGCGAGTGAACAGTGGGCAGCGAGGCTGTTGTTGCAACGTGAGAATAAGAAAAGGGCCGGGCGCGGTGGTTCATGCTAGTAAGCCAGCACTTTGGAAGGCCGAGCCGGATGGAACCTCTGTGGCGCGTGCCTGTAATAACACCTACTCGGGAGGCTGAGTGAGGCAAGACAATCACTTGAACCCGGGAGACGGAGGTTGCAGTGATCCGAGATCGCGCCACT